AAAAATTAAAACGGTCCACTGAGAAAAAAATTGATAATCGTCGATAAATTTGAGAGTTACCTAACCTAATAAATAAAAATAACGATTGACCGAAGTACAAATTTTTCTATTAACGTCTACATCTCGATAGAAACTTCAAATTCTTTACACGCCGAAATCTGGATGTTTTCAAGTTTTCTTATCTACGAGTATATAGGTATTTAGATTGCTTTTATCCGAGTCCAACACTAAACTTGTAACTTGCATCAGCGTCAGCGTTAAGAGTAACTATTTTTTTTTTTAATCTACGTCATGAGAAAAAGCTGCCACACATGTGTTCGACGCGAATATGATGTCGTTCCAGAAAACAATGTTTACCACATATCTAGTCTCGTAAAACCGTAATTACCGGATCACTTTGTAATATAATCACACCTACGCCACGAAACGGAGTCATCGACCGTCCGGTGAATTGTCAATATTATTATTACCAATATTATTGCTACGACGTTGTGCAGAATTTAACACGGCGATACTATGGCACGTGTTGTTTATACGTATACCCTAGTATATAAACGATGTTGTTATAATGTTTTACTTGCGTACGCTTTAAAATAATATAAGAAGATGCTAAATCCTGTGCGTGGATGAAAATTATCAACTCGTATACGAAGCGATAGTCTTATTAACGATTCACAGATTCAGGGAAACTATGATTTATCTGAAAATGAATTAAACTCTTTTCACTCCTATCATGCACGTGTACAATATCCCTTAAGATCATAGGCATAGCAAATAAACCGTTAACGATATTATAAATAATAATATTTGCACACGTCACAAGATTTACGATGCGCACTCTTCTGAAAATGTATAAAAAACCATAATAATAGATTGCCACTAGAAAATCCATGATCCGACATTGAATAAGTGATAAGCAATTTGAAAACACGTTTCACTGAATTTGTACACGTAATCATATTTTCCTAGATGAAATACGGACCTATTTTCGAAGTTTAAATACAAATTAACGCATAAGGGCTAAATACGTGATACCATTGTCCACAACGGTTCGTCTTTAGATCTTGTATACAATATTTTATTGTGTGTGAATTACCGTATTTTCATTTATAACATAACATCATATAATAATTCGTTATTTATTTTAAAAATCAACCACATTATTTTTCCTTCTCACGCGTCCGTACTGATTGAAAATAGTCATTAAAAAAATTAAAAAATAAATAATAATAATTACAATAATATTAATAGTACCACGTTTCCCCATTTTCACATTAACGCATCTATGACTTCCTTCCTTTCAAATTGCATTCGTACAAACTCTACTTATGTAGGTATAAAATAATTATAATACATTAATTTAATAATAGCTAGAACTATTGACGCATACATCTTTACTACACAGTACACACGAACCGTAGTGCGTGTATATACTTTGTGTTCGTGATATGTAGAAATCGTTGATTGTATTAAAAAAGCAATTATCTACACGCTGAATCTATTCACACAAACAACATTTTTACTGTAACTATGTCACTCCTTGCTCAACTTCTCAACTGTCAGCAAGTCAAACAAATGTAACATCTCACGAATATTCAACATTACGGTTAACTCAAAAAATACCATCGAGTTTCTGTGGGTCACTTCGCTATTACCGATAGTGAAAAAGCTGACTAATGAAAAAAAAAAAAACCATCATAAGCTCGTTCCGACAATCATCGCTATTCTGACGCGTATTTGGATTATTCTATCACTCGTCAGTCATCAGTCATACGAAGCATTGATTTGTTCTCGTATATATATATAATTTACGAAAAACATACTGGACAATATCAATCTCGTATTTATTAAATATAATCCGTGTCGTTAACATGTGACAACAAATTGTCAAAAGCTCGACATGTTTTCACGGTGAATCACATAGCCCGTCCGTTTAGTAGGTAATTTGTGAACATTTCCCGAAGTCAACCACTAACTGCAATCGTGTGAAAAAAATGTAGTGCCGGAAAATTAGAAGAAAAAAAAAATGGAATCGGCTACAGGCATAAAAATTTTCCCGCAGGCAAGTTTAACAGATTTCGCTCGCGGCGACGAACGCGCACTAAAAACATATCGTTTCAGGTTAAGAAATCATCGATCGTCCGGTACAACAAGGCAGCAACGCTGGCCAAGATGGCGGTGGAGGCCAAGACGACGGCCCTGGCGGATGTGGCTGTGCAGGAGGCGCTGTTCAAGGCCAGGAGAGCTCCCTGAGCCACAGACGTGGTCATCCGCTACAACAACGCGGCGAAAGTGGCCCGGGTCGCGGTGGCGGCCAAGGCGGTGGCCAGTACGGCGGCTGTCGGAAACGGTGGTCGGTACGGGTTGATGGTGGCCACCGGGATACTGACGCCTAGACTTCAGCCTGCAGAGATCCGCTCGACCATTCCCCGAGCACTGGTCACCGGTTCGGCTCGTCCGCGTGAGTCCTGTGTTGCGCCCAAGACGTACGCAGGTCGACCGCCGTTCAGATGATCGTGGAGGACATGAAGTCAGATCCTCACGACCTTCGTGCCCCTGGTACTTTTCTCGTCCCCATCCGTGAAATTAAGAGCCAGCGGTCACCTCATAGTTCGTAGTACGTACAGGTGAACGAAACGTTTTCGTCCATTTTTTTCCGATTTTATTTGTTTTCCTGTGATATCACGCTAAACGATTGAAACGAAAATAATATACGCGACGATATTTCTACGCCACCTGTACGTACTTCGTAACACACATGAATCTGCACCCGTAGCTATTTATAATGTCACCGTCATAAAATATACTACGAGTACATATACTCCGTCCGACACACGTATAACACAGCGAATTTGCATTCAGTCGTTCAAACGTAGTGATGCTAGCTTTAATATTACAGTAAACTGACGTATAGTAATACTTTGAAGAACGACCATTGTACGTGTTTTGTTGGTCGGTCTTTCTAATATTTTAATTTTTAAGCGGGGTATAAGTTGTTTTTTTTTTTAATTTTGATATTTTGCACACTTATAACTCACTTAAAAATTAAAATATTGGAACAACCTACTAACAAAACGTAGAAAATGTTCTTCCTTTAAAGTATTATTACACGACGGTTTACTCCAGCATTAAAGCTATCGTCACTACATTTGAATAACTGAACACGATTTGCTATTCTATACGTTTGCAAGACGGAGAAATTTCTTACGGGTGTGGTCGTGAGAGATGATCTCTGTCTCCATTCAACATATATGTAATACAGAAAATTTGTGTTCAGTCGTTCAGACGTAGCCATGTTAGATTTAAAAATACAGTAAACTAACGTATGGTAATGCATTGAAGGTTGTCTATGTCTTGTTGGTCGGTATTTCTAATATTTTAATATTTAAGCAAGTTATGAGTGTGTAAAATATTAAAATTAAAAAAAAAACTCATAACTCGTTTAAATATTAAAAAATCGAAAAACTTACTAACAAAACGTAGACAATTTTTTTGCATAAAGTAATATTACACGTCGGTTTACTCTAACATTAATGCTAAACATTACTACATCTGAATTACTGAACGCGAATTTGCTGTGTTGTACATTTGTCAGACGGGGACAACACTTGCTGATGTGCCTTCTATTTAACTCTGTGAAATTGGTGACTTTAATGTTCTAATAAAAAGTTTTATCTTATTATTTATTTAAAATTAATAAAAAAATATAATTTTTAAAAGTACCATTTAAATTGTGTTTCGGTATTTTAAGAAAATTTAGGCATTTGTCTTTTAAAGCTACTTTACAAATAAACGTGCGTATAATGTACACCGAAAATAATCAATTATTAAGTTATTGGTTTAAAAAAAAAAATTGAACGATGAATCTTATATATCCATTAGTTTCACATGGTGTGGTCCAGAAGATAAACCTATTCCCGAATGTATCATACGTGGAAAACATTTACCAACGAATCGATGGTGCTCAACAAATTGAACCAACATTTTATTAAACAACATTTTCACTTGAAGAGCAAAGATATTAACTATTTCAAAAGACTTTTAAGTAGCCAAAAAAAAAGAAACGAACAAGTTCACAAAAAAATTAAACATTTCTGAGAGAGCTCTCGAAGCTAGTTTCGTAATTTCCCAAAAAATTGTTAACAACATGAAAGCATATAATATTGGAGAAAATTTAATCAAACCTACCTGTAAGGAAATTATGCAAATAATGATTGGAGATGAAGCGGTCCTTGAAATACATAAAATACCCATATCTAATGACACTATTACTCGTCGCATAAGTGATATGTCTTTAGATATAAAAAAACACACCATAGAAAAGATGAAACTTTCTCGGTTCACACAAATGTATAATAACATATTCTCATTTATAATACTCGTATATATATATATAAGAAAAAGGTCTATTTTTAATGTTTATTGTTTGATCACGTTTTATCATAAGACATATATATCTATATATATTGTATTGAATGATGAATAGTACCGCCGGCCTTTACTCACAACAAAATCTCGATGACCAGAACAACCATCCGGATATTATTTAGTATGTCTTCAGTCCTGAAACATACAACACCTACCTTACGTCTTACCAGTTCCCAGTGATTTTCTGTGTATTTTTATTATAGTTTTCAGTGTTTTTATTTCAACCTGAAAATGTTTAAGTGCGATCAGTGTATCAAAATGTTCTCTAGCAAAGATAAGTTAGTTAGATACACAAAAATCCACAAAAATGTTCAGTTTACGTGTGAAATATGTCTTAAGACTTTTGCACGTAAAGATAATTTGGCAAAACACACGGATAATAAGCATGGTATGTATTTTTAATTAAATAAATACGATTTTAATAATTATTTAATTTTTTCAAAAATATTTTAATTAAATATTTAAAATCTAGTTTGAAACAGTTTATATATCTAACTGGGTTATTTTTTCTCTCCGTAGGGCTTGAAAATTGTAAACGGGGAAATTCGAAGGTTGTAGGTCAGATAAAGAGGACCCGGTTAAATTTAGTAGGAAATGTGACTGGTTTTATCAACGCTGGATCATTTTTCAATAATATTATCACTTGGTATTATAAAAAAAAACTTGGAAAATATATTCAATCATTCTATCTTTCTCAGCTCAATAAAATCAGAACTAATCGAAGTTTTAAAATCATCATCAAAACCACTCAAATTCAATCTTAAACTAGAAGCCACATATAACAAACCACATGTAGATAATTCGTCCGTGAACAGTGTTCAAGACCTCGGCCAGGGCGATTCTCGCGGATACAGATATTGAAAACGAAATTAATAATATAATATGTTTGAAAATATATTATGCGAGGAAGATATATACCAGGGCAAAGGCAGTGGGTTCACACTCGAAAAAATCGACGGTATATCACTAGGCATATATAAATATATACCGATAAGTGGCTCCTAGTATCTACCTTTACCTACTTACATAGAAAATAAAAAATCTACCATTAACCCGCAAAACAATGACGAACAGTGTTTTAAATGGGCTATTCTAGCCAAACATATCACGGGAGAGAACAAGTGCAGAGTCAATAATAATTATTATATTCACGAAAACAAATATAATTTCACTGGTCTCACATTTCCGACACCATTAAGCGAAGCGAAAATATTCGAAAAAAAATAATCCTAACGTATCGGTTAACGTTTACGGACTTGAAAAAAAATTCCATCCGCCTTTGAAACTTCCCACTTATAAAATCTTCCCACTAAAAGTAGTCGAAGAAGAAAAAGCGGAACATTTCGACTTCATATTAATTGCAGACAACGAGAAATCGCATTATACCTATATCTCACACTTCTCAAGACTTGTTCGTTCGCAAAAAACACTACATAAAGAGAGTGTTATTTTTTGTAAACGGTGTTTCACGAGTTTCGATCATCGGGTGAGAAATAAATTAAGCGGTCAGGCTGAGTTAGACGAGCATTTGAAAATATGTGGGTCTCATAAACCGATTTTACCTGTAATGCCAACGGAAGGGACAACGTTACAATTTGAGGGGTAGTCTAAGACTCAACGACATCCGATAGTCATTACGCAGACTTTGAAGCACTTTTGGTAAAAAGTACGAAAAACAAGGGCAAGAATACGTCAGCTATTCAAAAGCACGAACCAATGAGCTACGGGTTTATCGTGAAGGTGTCTGAAAACGTTTTGCCAGAGTTACTAGAACAATATAATATACCAACAGCGCCAGTTATTTTCCGTGGTAATCAAAATTATCAGAGCGTATCAAAACATTTTATTGAGAACATTGTAAAAGTTGCTGAAAAAATTGAAAAACTATTAAAGTTAAATATGCCAATTATAATGACTGAAGAACAACATCAATCACATAATATTTCTACTTCGTGTAATTTATGTAAAAATAAATTTTCAAACATGAATCATAAAGTGGCGGATCATTGTCATTTATCAAGCGAATTCCGACAAACATTGTGTAATACATGCAATTTAAAATTACAAGTTCCCAATTTCATTCCATGTTTTCTACACAATTTATCAAATTACGACGCTCATTTCATAGTCATAGAATTAGGATATGATGCAAACAAGATAACGGTAATACCAAACAGTGAGGAAAAGTTTATATCTTTTTCCAAGTATATTTCCAACAAATTCTCTATACGGTTTATTGATACATTTAGATTTATGGCTACAAGTCTGTCCAAACTAGCCACAAATTTGTTAACACCTAGATTGGAAAAATTTAGAGAAACAGCGAAACATTTCACTAACGAAGACATGCCCCTTGTGACTCGTAAAGGTGTATACCCTTACGAATATACATATAATTGGCAAAAATTAGAAGACATAACATTACCATCGGAGGCACATTTTTATTCAACATTAAAGGAAAAACATATAGTTGATGAGGAATACAAACACGCACTCACAGTATGGGACCACTTCGATTGTAAGACTTTGGGAGAATATAACGATCTATATCTGAAAATAGACATTCTTCTACTAGCTGATGTGTTCCAGAACTTCAGGGATATATGCAACTCAACATACGGTTTAGATCCTGCATTTTATTTTACGGCACCCGGATTCAGTTTCGACTGTATGCTGAAGCATACAGGAGTAAAATTGAAACTATTATATATAGACATCATTTTTCCATTCCGAATCATTAAGTTGATCAAATTTTTTTCCTTTACTTGCAGCAAATTCAAAAATTTCGTTTTTTAAATCAAAAACCCTTTTCAATACTTTTCCTCTGCTGAACCAACGGACATCTGTAAAATAGATCACATCACCTTGTTCAGCATCTATTTCACTTAAAAAGTTTTTAAATTCTCTATGATTCAATGCTCTTGATCTGATAAAATTTACTATTTTTACAACATCTTTCATAATAGTTTGAAAACCAACAGATTTTGCACATAAATTTTCTTGGGGGATAATGCAGTGATATTGCATCAGTTGTAAAGCGCAACATGTACTCATTTCTTTTTTAATTAGCGCTACGAGCCCTTCATTTTTTTCCAACCATAGATGGGGCTCCATCTGTTATAACTCCAGAAAGGTTATTTAATTTGATGTCAAAACGGTTAAGTATCGAATTTAATGCATTAAAAATATCACAACTTTTTGTAGTGCCTTTCATTGGAAAAAGCGCGGCTAATTCTTCAGTAATATTAAAATTACAATCTCTACCCCGAATAAAAATTGCTAATTGTGCAGTATCTGACAAATCTGTACTTTCGTCTAGGGCCAGCGAATAAAAAATAAATTTAGAAATACATTCTTTCAGGGCACTCTCAATATCAGTTCCTAGTTCTTCTATACGCCTTGCTACAGTTACCCCTGATAAACTCAATTTGGAAAATAGTTTTTTTTTGTGATGGACATAAAATTTCAGAAGCGGCCTCCATACACTCTTTTATAAATTTGCCATCAGCGAACGGCTTCAATTTAGCTGCAATTGTTTGTGCTATGATATAACTAGCTTTGACACTGGCTTCTGAGTCTTTATGACATTTTTTTATATTTGAAGACTGACCTTGTATATTTTTCATTAACAATGCAAGTTTGTCAATTCGAAGTTTCCTTGTGTCATATCATATTTTGTTGCATGTTTGGTGCTATAATGTCATTTTAAATTTTACTATTTCATCGCTGCAATCGATTCTTGACAAATCAAACATATTGTCTTTTCTTTAATTTGAATAAAAAAAATAAGTATTGGACCATTTTTCTTGAAAAACGCGACTTTCACTCGAGATTTTACGTTTTTTACTCACCGACATATTTTACAAATATTACACATAAACTTTTACACATAAACGAGAATATTGTGCTCGTTCCACAATCGATTACGAACTAACAGACAATAATAATTATATCTTGGTAGGTAATTCAATTTATCTTATCGCATACTTCCGATAGCAATAGCTTAACTGTTATAATATTATTGATCTAGAAAATGTACATGCTAAATTTAAAACGTGACCGCGGGCCGCACATTAAGATAGGGCGGGCCGCGGGTTGAAGACCCCTGCTATAAACAATTATAAAATGAAACACAGGATAATGAATTATGGCGAGAATATTTAATATTCACCAATCTATGAAGTGAACACTAAAAAGTAAAAAAAAAAAAACTCATCAAAATTCTGATAATACTTTGATCTTTACTTGTAGTATTTTGTAATTCTTTATTTAATTGCGATCGTATGACAATCAATCATAAAATCATCACTTCATATTCCTTAACTGTAGTAATAGGAAACACTTCTGTATATGTATTTTATAGTATAAATAATTCTATCTCTGTTAGTATATATTGAAACAGAATAATACCAAAGTAAATTATAACAAGCAGACTATAAATTTACTTACTCTTTTCATTTGATCGTTAGCTCTAGGCTGATAAAAATGAAAAACAAAAATAATAAATACTGATCATTTTATTACCTTCAGACATTTATTATAAACATTAATTAGAAAAAAAAAATTATTAATTAATTGATTTGTTCACATTAATTAATTTTATTAGAAATTATTATTTTTGAACGAAAACTTGAGTTGCTCGATGTTCTTTAGATGATTACTTTACAACTAACACACATATAAAATGTTTATTGTTTTCATTTGTTTAAGTCAATTCAATGGTAAAATAAAATGTTGGTTGTAAAAATTAAAATTGAACAAATCGAGTAATAAATATATTATGGTCCGGAAAACAGCTGATATTAAAGAGATTTTGTCAAATAAATTAAATATAGGTAATATGTAAAGAAAATAATTAAAAACTTACATAATATTTGAACATGAACAGAAGTTTTTTTTTTAATTGTTATTATCCGTGGTGATACCTTATGCAATGTAGGGGTTAAATTTATAAAATAATTATAAATAAAGTTTTTTTTATGCGTTTTTATTATTATTAATTTTTATCAAGTTATTTAGTAAATTGTATGATTGAGTATCACTTATTTCGACACTTAAAAAAGACTGATACAATTAAATTAATAGTTAATTGAGTAATTACTATATATGCACAGAGCATGATGCAAAGAAAGTAAATATTGTAAAATAGGCAACCAAACATTCATCACAACTGTAATATTTTATAAATATATGGTTGTGTATGATGGTCGTCTCCTGCTGCACAATATTCGTAAGCTTGATCCTAGGACACCGCCCGTACTATATCGAGTGAATGGAATATCGAATAAAGTGATACCTCTAAAGAAGCCCGGATTAAGGAGGTAAGAGGACATGGTCCCAGGGACCATAGATTTTGGGATCCCATCTTTATCCCCAAAATATATTTATTTCTATCGTGATCAAAACAGTTTTCAAAAAAAATATATATATATATATATAGTTCAATTATTAAACTATACATATATTTTTTTATTTACTTTTTAATTTTAGTAGGTAAATTATTAAAAATATATAAAATATGCTCTTAATTTTATATCACGAAAAACTACTAAATGATAATACATTTTTAAATTTAAGTAAGGTATCATTTGATAAAAGTGATACTTTTAGTTTATTAAAATGGTTTTATGAAAAAAATCATTGAGAGATATATTCCCAAACATTTTAATTGCTTTACAATTATAGTTAACTATCCCAGTCACCAATTATTCAGCCAAAAGAGCATTTTCAAAGTTAACAAGAATAAAAAATATATATAGAAAAAGCCAGACTTAAGAAACTTTAAAATCGTTAATAGTATTATATTCACAACATGGTATTTTGCAATTAATAGATTTCAATAAAACTTTAAAACAATTTGCAAAACAGAAAGCAAGAAAAAATTTACCTTATACCTTTAGTAACCTATTAAGTGTATTCTTTATATATACATGTTACCATCAATATGGATAATCTGGTATTTTGCAAAATGCTCAGGCATTATATAAAATACCAAAAATCACTCTATAATATACATAATACGAGCCTTGCCTAGGTATTATATATTATGCCAAATGTGGAGTAAGCATATGATAAAAAACAACAAAATTGGGCATCGTCTATTATCAATGACTTTACTTATCGTTTATCAAAAATATGCGTGTACGATTCAACGCAATAAAGATTAATATTCTTTTACTACTA